TGAGCTGTACGTAGTGCTAGCTAGTGTAATATCAAAGAATATGTCTAGTAAATTTTAGTAGTTACTCGGGAGAGAATTACGACACTCAGAGAGCTCATGATCGGTAGAGAAACCTTAGGCAAATGTATAGAAAATGTAGCGGAAAAGATTCCAGCAATAGGGAAAATCTTACGTTAGATCATTCCAAATCTTGTCTAAAATTTGTTCGTAGTTAGTTATTAGTTATTGCAGTTTCATAAATAAATCCTTAGTAGTAAACATCCAATTTGTTATTTAAATATTTTTGAAGATTGATTATGTAAATTTGTGCGAGTCTAGTAGTTGTGCTTAATAGGTTAATTCCCTATGGGATTCGACTCCAGACTTGTTAACTGGAATATATTTGCAACAACCACTTAGTCCTTTTTATAAGACATAGTTGGGCGTGATCAAATTTTGGCACCGTTGTCGGAGAGTTAACAGTATTATTAATTATAGCTAAAAGAAGTGCTAGAATTCTTAGTGTAGTCAATTTTCTATATTTTAAACTAAATACGTTGAAATTCTAACGTTTGTAGTCTTGGGTGTTACAGGTGCATGCCTAGAAACTCCTCAAGAACTGATGAGTTGTTCGAAGTATTATCAGATCCTAAGAAAGTTTTTAAGGCATTGAATTGTGAAAACAAAAAGGGCAAACAACAATAGAACTCAACAGAACAAATCGAATCAGACATGGATGATGGAATAGAAAATCCAAAACAACAACAGAAACAATGCGAATAACCTGAACAATCAGGGTGTGGTGCCTTTTATGCTAGAAGCGGCATTGTATGATTCGGCACAACCCGTCATTGAAAATCTGGCAACCGCAATTGCAGTCCCTCAGATACAAGCAGAATCATTTCAAATCACAAACAACATGCTACATTTGTTGCATAACAAGGGACTGTTCTCAGGGTCTTACATTGAAGATCCTTAGCAGCATCTGAAAAATTTCCTGTTGATATGTGTCACGCAAAGGCAACCTAATGTGACATCGGAAGCAATAAAACTGCTATTGTTTCCATTCTCGGTGACAGGAGAGGCTGAGCTTGGCTTAGTTCACTCCCCATAAACTTCATCACTACTTGGGAGGAATTAGTCAAGCAATTTTTGAACAAATTCTACCCACCCAATAAAACTGCCAAAAAAAATGATGAGATATTGAGCTTCAGGTAGAGACCAACAAAAATACTACAAGAAACGTGGGACAGGATCAAAGGTATGCTGGTTAAGTGTCCACATCATGGCATTCCAGATCAGATGTTGGGGCAGAGGTTATACATGGGATTGGCAGATAGCTTAATGGCCAATGTTGATGCTTCAGTAGGTGGAGCATTTTTGAGCAAATCATTCAGAGAATGCAAGATCCTACTTGATAAAATGTCTCAAAACTCAGAATGGATGACAAGAGACTCTAGGATCACTCATGTCGTTCACTTTGTGGCTTTGGACCCAAACAACTCCATAGACGAAAATATGGCCACTCTGATGACGCAAATGAGTATCCTCGCCAAAAAGATCGATGAATCAGGAGAGAAGCAGCATGTACACATAGTTGGCATGACTAGTGGAGGCTTATGTACACCATGCATTAACCAACTATATGTATGCTCTTGGAGTGCGAAAAGTGATAACCAGCACTATCAGGAAGATATGAACTATGTGGCCAACTATGGAGGACATAGGCAAGGTGGTCAGAATTGGGAGCAATAGAATCAGCAATATAGACCAGCACAACAACAGTACCATAATATCAACAATCCTGGAGCTATGCGATCACAGGGTCAAGTTTTTCCTTACCAAAGGCAACAGGGATACAACTAGCAAAATCAACAGCCTCAACAACAACAGATAGTGAGACAAGATGATGGGTTGTTTGAAATTAAAGGAATGTTGCAACAACTGATTGGGTCCAATGGAAAAATGCAAGAGAGAGTGGACTCACATGAATCAACGATAAAAGGCATTGAGATTCAATTAGGACATATATTAATGGCTCTGAATAATCATCCCCAAGGGACATTACCTGCAGACACACAAGTCAATCCAAAAGAGTAGGGCCCGAAACAACTTATGGAAGTGAATCTAAGAAATGGTAAGGACCTAGATCTAGAGTAAGAAATTGCTCATGAAAGCCAACAAAGTAAAATACTTGTGCCAATACCCATTGAGGTAGATGATTCAACAGGGTAAACTAAGGTGATGATGCAACATGCACAAGGGAGCACAAGCAAAGAAAAAGAGGTTGCGAAAGAGACTGAGGTAGCACGAGAAGTGACAGTAGAAGCAGTGCCTGAGCAAGATAAAACTCAAATCACAGGAAGGAAGCGACCTCAGCACCATTCCCTCAGATATTGGCCAAATATCAGAAGGATGAGTAGTATAAGAAATTCATGAAGATGCTGAAACAAATCCAGGTGAACATTCCACTAATTTACGCCTTGAGGGAGATGCTTGGGTATGCCAAAATGATGATGGATTTGATGTCTCGCAAGTTTGACTTCCAAGACTTGGCCACTGTTATACTAACCCAGGCCTGTAGTGCTATCATTACGAGACCCATAGCTGAGAAGTTGTCAGACCCAGGGAGTTTCACATTCTCATGCACAATACGTAGCTATGCTTTTGCTAAAGCATCGTGTGATTTGGGGGCAAGCATAAACTTGATGCCCTTGACTATCAATAAAAGGTTATGCATTGGAAGAACAATACCCACATCCATGTTACTACAGCTAGCTAACCGAACAATGAAGAGGCCATCAGGTATCCTTGATGATGTAATAGTGTAGGTTGGAAAGTTTGTGTTTCCAGCAGATTTTGTCATTCTGGACTGCCGGGTTGACGGGGAGATTCACATAATTTTGGGAAGACCATTCTTGGCAAATAAGAGATCTCTAAATGATTGTGAAACTGGAGAGCTAAAATGAGACTGAATGATGAAGAGTTAACATTCAATGTACAGAAGTCTATGTGGCGACCACGTGAATTTGATAACTACTCTCTAATAGAAGCTATGGATGTAACCTTTGAGGAGGAAGATGAGACTTTGAACGCTAAAGATCCTCTAGTAGCCTGTCTCACGAACTTAGAAGAAGTAAATGGAGATGACTTGGCGGAGTGGGTGCTGGCTCTTGAAAGACAGGGGTTCTGAAAAAGAGAGCTCGAATTTGAGTCTTTGCACTAAACAGAAAGAAAGAATCCTCCAGCTAAGCCATTGATCAAAGAGCCGTCATAGTTGGAACTGAAACTGCTACCACCTCATCTCAGGTATGCTTTCTTGGGACCTAACTTAAATTTACCTATTATTATCTCATCTGGTTTGTTAGATGTGCAGGAAGAACAACTTTTGCAGGTTTTGATAGAGTGCAAAACTGCAATTAGTTGGACCATTGCAGACATTAAGGGTATTAGCCCAGCCTTTTGTATGCATAATATTTTACTGGAAGATGTCCACAAGCCTTCCAAAGAACATCAAAGAAAGTTGAACCCCACCATGAAAGAAGTTGTAAAAAAGGAGGTGATAAAGTGGTTAGATGCGGGGATCATTTTTCCCATATCCGATAACAACTGGATTAGCCCAGTTCAATGTGTACCAAAGAAAGGTGGAATTAGTGTAGTGCAAAATGAGAACAACGAATTGATCTCAACAAGAACAGTCACGGGATGGCGAATTTGTATGGACTACAGAAGATTGAATAAGACCACCCAAAAAGATCATTTTCCCTTGTCGTTCATTAATCAGATGTTAGATAGATTGGCTGGGAGATCCCACTACTGCTTTTTGAATGGATACTCAGGGTATAATCTTATTTCTATTGCCCCGGAAGATAGAGAGAAAACGTCATTCACCTGTCCATATGGCGTCTATGCTTTTCGTTAGGCCTATGCAATGCACCCGCCACATTTCAATGGTGCATATTGGCCATCTTCACAAATATGGTAGAAGACATAATGGAGGTCTTCATGAATGATTTCTTAGTGGTGGGAGAATCATTCGATGATTGCCTAAGGAATCTGAAAAGAGTGCTGAAAATATGTGTAGAGACTAATCTAGTGCTCAACTAGAAAAAGTGCCATTTCATGGCACAAAAAAGTATAGTCTTGGGGCATCTAGTGTCAGTTAATGGCATTAAGGTGGATCATGCAAAGTTTTATATGATAGAAAAGCTACCACCACCCACTTCCGTCAAAGCACTAAGAAGTTTCCTTGGCCACACCGATTTCTACAAACAGTTTATAAAAGATTTCTCCAAAATTGCTAACCCTTTATGTAAACTACTTGAAAAAGATCACTCTTTTATGTTTTCTGATGATTGCAGGGTAGCGTTTGAGGAGTTGAAAAAGAAACTGGCGACTACACCAATCATAGTGGCCCCCGACTAGGGAAAACCTTTCAAGTTGATGTGCGATGCAAGCAACTATGCTGTAGAATTAGTTCTTGGGCAGTAAAAAGATAAAGTCATGCATCCAATCTACTATGCAAGTAGAACCTTGAGTGGCGCCTAACTGAACTACACAATGACAGAGAAAGAGATGCTAGTTGTGGTGTTCGCATTTGATAAATTCAGGTCATACCTGGTAGGTTCAAAGGTAATTGTTTACACTGACCATGCTGCCCTTAGGTACCTAATTGAGAAAAAGGAGTCAAAGATGCACCTAATTCGATGGGTGCTGCTACAAGAGTTCGATTTGGAAATCCGGGGCCTAAATGGAACAGAAAACCAAGTTGTTGATCATTTGTCCAAGCTTAAAGGAGTGGAAAAAAAGGTTGAGGTGGAGGAGATCATGGAGACTTTCCTAGATGAACAACTCATAGAAACAAGCCTCGAGGCTACACCATGTATACAGATATTGCAAATTACCTAGCAAGCGGTATTGTTCCCTATGAATTGTCTTCTGTGCAAAAGAAAAAGTTTTTTCGTGATTGTCGCATGTATTTTTGGGGTGAACCATATTTGTTTAGCATTTGTCTTGATAACATGATCCGGAGATGCACTCCCGAGATAGATGAATCTTCTATTTTGCAGGCATGTCATGCTTCACCGTATGAAGGACATTTTGGAGGTGTAAGGACAATGATTAAAGTGTTGGAGTCAGGTTTTTATTGGCCGACGTTGTTTAAAGATGCACACTTTTGGGTGAAAAGTTTTTATGAGTGCCAATGGACGGGGAATGTTTCCCCTCGACATAAGATTCCTATGAACCCAATTCAAGAGGTAGAAGTATTCGATGTATGGGGAATCGACTTTATGGGATCATTTGTCAGCTCATATAATAATAAGTACATACGTGTAGCAGTGGACTATGTCTCCAAATGGGTAGAATCCATGGCACTTCCAACAAATGATGCGGAGGCAGTTATTGGTTTCCTAAGAAAGAACATCTTCACCCGTTTTGGCACTCTAAAAACTATGATCAGTGATGGGGGCACCGACTTCTGCAATCGAGCCTTTGCAAAGTTGTTGGAAAAATATGGCGTTCCCTATAAAGCTGCTACTCCATATCACCCACAAACAAGTGGGCAAGTCAAGGTGTCAAACAGAGAAATCAAGAGTGTTTTGACCAAAACTGTAAATGTTACACGGATTGATTGGGCGAGAAAATTGGATGATGTGCTATGGGCTTACCGCACTGCATTCAAAACTCTTATTGGTATGTCACCATATAAATTGGTGTTTGGAAAGGCATGTCACTTGCCGGTGGAGCTAGAGCATAAAACCTTCTGGGCGTTACGACAATTAAATCTGGACTTGGAGGCTGCTGGAACTAGTAGAGTCATAGAACTGCATGAACTTGATGAGTTCCGGTACCATGCTTTTGAGAGTACAAGGTTATATAAGGAAAGAATGAAACTGGTGCATGACAAAAATATTCTTGAGCAAAATTTTAAGCCCGGGGACGTGGTATTATTATTCAATTCGAGATTGAGGTTGTTTCCGGGAAAATTGAAGTCAAGATGGCCAGGACCAATTCGTGTGCTAGAGATTCATCCCACCGGGGCCTTAGAGATTGCTTTAAAAGATGGATCTCGTAAGTTCAGAGTCAATGGTCACAGGTTGAAACATTATTTGGGCATGGATGACACGAAAGTAGTATCAATGACTCATTTGATAGAGCCAACAATGTTGAGCGAGCCTTAAGTCAATTGCATGCATCGTGCCGCGACATTAAATCAGGCGCTTCATGGGAGGCAACCCATTGTAATGTTGTTTTCGTCATGCGGTGACGTTAACTAAGGCGCTCGTTGGGAGGTAACTTAATTCGTAGTTGATTTTTAGTGTAGTTAGAATTTTTTCTTTTCATTTTTAGGAACTAACATGTTTGTAGGTAATTTCGGAAAGTCGTACACTACACTTCGCGTCGCCTAGTCCCCAGCGAGCTGGACCAGGCAGAAAGCCTCGTGTTACCTGATGGAAAACCAGTGTGGGAGCTCGTCTCACGAGGGAAAAAGCGAGGTGCATCTTTGTGGAGCCTCGCGTCTCACGCCCAAGAGCTCGCGTTTGAGCTCGCCCTTCGTGATGGGTAAAGCGAGGCAGCAACCTTGCATCGCCAGGTTAGTGCATTTTTTCTTTATTTCTTTTAACCCCCTCTGTTACAACCTAACCTAAATGCCCAAAACCTCATTTCTCACAAAAAGCACACAACCTCACTGCTCACGCCAAGAACACTTCCAAATTCCCTCCCTTACAACCCAATTGAAGACAAGCACTGTCACGACCCAAAATACATTAAGGGTCGTGATGGAGCAGGACACCACTATGAGGCAAGCCAACATCAAGAAGTTAATTAATTTCTTATTTTAGTATGTTTGTAATTATTTCTTTTCCTTACATTAAACAACAAATAATGAACTTAACCGAGTAAATAATGATGTCCTTAACAAATTTAAATACTGAATAATCCCATAGTCATTTCAGTACCCGGTGTCACAAGTGCATGAGAAAATTTCTAGGAAACAAAATGTAATACAATAACTGTCCGGAATACAATTGGACAGAAAAGAAAATACAATACTCTAAAGGAGACTCTGCTGGTTGCGGGTCGTCTCGAGAGAAGCAGTTCACCTAAGTCTACTATCAACCATGCCGTTGCGCCCAACAAGGCTACAAGACATACATGTGCCTGTGCAACAAAAATGCACACCAAGTGTAGTATGAGTACGAAAACAACGCATACCCAGTAAGTATCCAGTCTAACCTCTAAGAAGTAGTGACGAGAGGTCGACTTCGACACTTACTAGTGGTCTAATAATAAAATACCAATAATGTGAAAAATTATGGATTTTTATAAGGTGACTGCAAACTCAATAAGCATGAAACACGGTTCTTTGGTTAATAAAATATTTCAAACTTATTTTCATCTTTTAACAATTTACATCTCTGACCAATGAGGCCATATTAATTATCAATAATTCCAAAACAATCAATCAAGTCATGCGCAAATCATGTCGAGGTCGTACGGCCTGATCCAACAAATATTTAAAGTGTGCACTGCCAGAGGGTCGAATGGCGCGAACCATAGATGCATCTATTACCCCACTCGCAAATCATACATGCGACGCAGTCAAATATAAATAAAAGAATTACCCTGCTTGCAAAGCATACATGCGACGCGATTACACATAGATAAACACATTCATATAGTCAATAAAGAATTCATCAGGGAAACAATTACCCAAGGAAATAGCAACTTCTCTTTTAACAGTCAAGAAAGTGATGTTTAACCCTTTAGAAATTTAATTACCAAGCTCGATGTGATATAAACAATTTCAATTGACAATACGGTTTTAAATATTGCAAGTAAAGCATACTTTTGGGTCCTAGACTACCCGAACTTAAGTATAATAGTATCTATGCACGGACTCTCATCACCTCGTGCGTACGTAGCCCCCACAAATAGGAGCACATATTTAATTATTTCACCTATGGGGTTAATTCCCTCTTACAAGGTTAGGAAACTTACCTCGCTCCGAAGTTCCATAGCCATCTCCCAAGACTTCCAATAATTCAAACTGATTCCCAACGCTCCAAAATTAGTCAATAAATAGGCAAAATCAATAAAAATATACTCTAATACTCACAACAATTCAATTTAAACAAATTCTCAACTCTGCTCGAAAAGTTGGCAGTGGGGCTCACTTCTCAGAACCCGATGAAACTCACAAAATCCGATAACTCATTCTGATACGAGTTCAACCATACCAATTTTATCAAATTCCGATAACAACTTAACCTCCAAATCTTAAATTATTGTTCTTGAAAAGTTTTGCAAAAATCTTGATTTCTTCCATTTAAATCCGAAATAAATAATGAATATAATCATAGAATCATGAAGTATAATTACTTTAGGATATAGAACACTTACCCCAATCCATATGGTGAAATTTGCCTCAAACATCGCTTCAATCTGAGCTCTATAGCTCCAAATATGTTAAAAATGGCCGAAACCTCAAAATATAGCTTCTGCCCAGGTATTTACTCTTCGCGATCGCAGAAAATGCTTAGCAATCGCGAAGCACAACATTTCTCAACCCAAAATTTTCCCTTCGCTATCGCGGGAAAAGCTTCGCGATCGTGAAGAACAAATGCCCAGCTCTCCCAGACAGCCCCTAGTGTAATGGTCATAATCTTTTGTACATAACTCCAAATGTCAAATGATTTAATTTTCTGAATACTAGACACAAAGGGCTACAACTTTATTTTTGGATCATCTCCAAATTCCTTATAGATTGTAAGATACAAACTTCCAAAGTCGGGTCAGTGCAGCAGAAACCTCCCTATACGATCGCGAAAGGCCTTCCGCGACCGCGATTCACTAGCCAATTTCTCCCATTTTACTCATTGCGATCGCGTAGCACACTGCTGTAGCCAAACACCAGCAACTAAAAATGGCCTAGAAATGGTCCGAAACTATTCCGAAACTCACCCGAGCCTTTCGGGACCCCATCTGAACATGCCAACAAGTCTCAAAACATAACACGGACTTAGTCGAGGCCTCAAATCACATCAAACAACGCTAAAAACACGAATCACACCCCAATTCGAGTCTAATGAAACAAAGAAATTCCAATTTTTACATTTGATGCTGAAACCTATCAAATCACGTCCGATTGACATCAAATTTTGCACACAAGCCACGCTCGACACTATGGACCTACTCCAACTTCCAGAATAAAAATCTGACCCCGATATCAAAAAGTCCACTGCCGGTCAAACTTCTCAAAAACCTTCAAATTTATAACTTTCGCCAAATGACCCCGAAATGACCTGCGGACCTCCAAATCCACTTCTGGATGCGCTCCCAATACCAGAATCGCCATACAGAGCTATTCCCAGACTCGGAATCCCAAACGGACATCAATAACATTGAAATACACCTCAACCAAAAATTTATGAAATTCTTCCAAAAATGCTAAATTCCACGATAGGCGCTGAAACGCTCCCGGGTCATCCAAAACTCGATCCGGACATATGCCCAAGTTCAAAATCATCATACGAACCTGTTGGAACCTTCAAATTCTGATTCCGAGGTCGTTTACTTAAAATTCCAACCTTATTCAATTATTCCAACTTAAAGCTTCCAAAATGAGAATTCTCTTTCCAAATCGACTTCGAACTTCCCGAATTTCAATTCCAACCACGCATACAAGTTATAATACCTAAAGTGAAGCTACTCACGGCCTCAAACTGTCAAACGACATGCCATAGCTCAAAATGACCGATCGAGTCGTTACATTCTCTCCCACTTAAGCATACGTTCATCCTTGAACGTGCTAAGAACTGCGCTGGAGTTGTCTGAAATCACTGCTTAACACCTCGTGCACCTATCCGTGCTACCACAACTCAGTTGAGCACATTAGCTCGATCAAATCTGAAGATATCCTCTTTCATTTAGGCAAATAAACCTTCGAGCCCAGTTCCAACATCCGGAATTCTCTTCCAGTCCTGCTTCCAACATACGAACACCGTATCAATCACCACACGATGTACCAGAACATAATTGCATACCTTTATTGAATTCACACCATGCACCATATCATTCACAGGACCATAATAAAACTTTTTGATCATAATAGCCGACATTCCCCGAATCTGATGCTCACAATGAACCCCATGACATATGTAAGTCCTGTTCTAACTCTTGCAACACCGCCATGATAGAAGAGGTGTGTAGAAATTCATAACCAACTACCGAGTCAACCAATCATTGAGTCTCTCCTCTGGACTAGAATCATCACCTCATTATGAACAAAATAATGGTATTTGCTCTTTAATATACTTCATATAATCCGATCGCACTGATCCCAGATCCAAAAATCTCGTCTCACCCAGTATAAGCTGCTCAAGAAACAAGCCACCCCATACATGACCAAAAGTCTCATATGATACCACAATGTGCCAATAAGCTACAAACTTGAACGTTATACGTAAGGAAAACGAACTCTAGAAGAAACTACTCAACTCACACAACTAATTAGACAACTGAAAAGGTGTTATGAACCTTCCTCAGAAAATGGGAAACAAAACACACAAAAATAGATGTAGGGGACTATACTCAACATCACACTGTTGCGGCATGCGACCCGATCCAAACAATATAGCCGTGGAGGCGTGCCACCCGATCCACACATAAAATTTATATAAAGAGATACATACTGAGCAAGAGTGCACTACAAAATACCGAATATCGGCTACAAGCACGCTAAGTGCATAATACCATCACTAGGGGACAGATAGCGCCATACGCTACAAAACTCAAGCACAACCGAGGTGCGATATATGACCTGAATCTCGAGAGCCATCCTGATCACATAACACCATCGCTACGCGGAACCTCAACACATAAGAAATTTATCAAGTCGTTTCACAACTAACACGACACAATGTAGTATTACATGAAATAGCAGATGACGAAATAACATCCAACGTCTGAATATTCCTCCATAAGGAGCGTTATGCTGAAATGAACACATCCGTCCTGATATAGAGCCCATATTCATATTTAAATCCATCCACAGACCTCAAGCCAAT